CGAGGAAATAATCCTGTGTCTTCCCCGATTATTCTGCGTTACCTTGGCCATTTATTGCCCACTAGGACATCTTAGTTAATTTTTCGCTTTCCAATTGGGGCATATCAGCCGATCATCATCTCAGTACCTCTGCTATGCATGCATACTTAGCTAACTTGGTCCAAACATTACAACTACATTTACTTGAGTTACAAACTCCCGCTCCTTTTCACACAGCTCCAAGCAAGCGCTAGTTTGGGGGCAATACATGACACTCAGCAATTCTTTGCATATTTTTGCGCGCGCCGTCATTCTTATAGTTTTTACAGCTTCTCACTTTTTTGGATGATATGTCTACATTATTTAATCTATTTTTTTTGAAGCACCGTTATTCTTATAGTTTTTACAGCTTCTCACTTTTTTGGCTGACATATCTACATTATTTAATTTGTCTTATTTGGTTCAGGCAATCATTTCCATGCTCGACACATAGAAATATCTCTAGCTCAGCACAAAAGTCCATTTTTGGAAGCAATCTCTGCACTCAGCAATATACTACACCTTCGCCCGGGGGTTATGATACCTCAGCTTACACCCTTGCCCTGGGGTTATAATACCGCGGCCTACACCCTCGCCTTGGGGGTAATAATACCATGGTCCATCATTCATTTAACCTCTCTATACTAGCATTACTCACTGGGCTTTAGCTCACCACTCCCCCTTATATACATATAATTATATGTATATTTGCACATACATTCAAACATATATGCATTCATACAGTTATTCATTCATTCATTTTTATTCATTTATTCAAAGTGTTCTTTATCAAGAAACCTAACATTTGTTTGAACAGCGTAAATCGGCAATAAAAACTCTCATTTCTTCTACCGCAGATAATGAAAGTTTTGGGGCAATTGTGGAAGCCAGAAAAATATCCTAAATGTATGGGTAAAATATCCTAAACAAATATCATCTATCCCCTATAAAAAGAGGAGACCTCATACATAAAAGGGGGGTCATCTCTCTCTATACTCCACCCACAATACTCTTTACTATCTATACTCTTCATTCATGGATTCTAACTTGATCATCGGAGTGTCTCCGGCCGGCAACCCCGGTTGGGTCGCGCCGACTATGTTTATCTTTGAAGATTACAGCAGCCAAGCTCATCTTTTCGTTAGAGCTCATCAACATCCATGTGAGAGGATTTTTCGGGTCTCACGCAATATATTCTTCAAGCATCTCATCCCATTCTTCTAGATCTTGTTCCATTAGATATTTTTTCAAAAATTTACATCCTCTTTCAGATAAATATGTCCTCGAATCTACCTATTCCAAATAATCATATACTGATTCATAAGGTAATCCTAGAATAATTAACTTTTCTGCTAAGGATGGTGTTATTGCAAATGTAGTCCTTCCATAATGAATTAATTTGAATCCAACTCTTGCTAATTCTGTAATTTCGTGAGATATTATGAAAAATCGTCTTGCCCTTGCTTCTGTTGGATCGAATGTAAAAGTTTCGTCTCAATCTTTGAACCAATCACATTTGTAAGGGATTAAGTCTTTCTTGTCTTTGACTTTTATTAGATAATGAGCTGCATTTAGACATTCATCCTTTACCTCCTTTTGGGCAATTGTAAATGTAATGGGTGCTATGCTTGGATATTCTTTATAGACTTCACAAATTCTCTTGAACATGAATTGTTGGAATTTGGTGAGCTAAGAGAACATAGCATTCTGTAGGTGAGGTGGAACATTGAATGTATTGATTATTCCCAATTTTCATATCACAGTTGTAAATGTGACGGGTGCCATGCTTGGATATTCTTTATAGACATCATAAATTCCCCTGAACATGAATTGTTGGAATTTGGTGAGCTGAAAGAAATTGGGCTCTGATACCAATTCAATTACGGATTTGCGGATCTAATTTAATATTAACCCTTGTAAAATCTTTCACTGATATTTTACACTGGTTTTTTCTAAGAATATTTTATTTTTAATATTGGCAATTCTTTCGCTATAATTTATTATAGATTGTCCTGAAGCAATAGCCAAAAGAAAATTTAATCTATTTTAACTCACTTTCTAATTCAGAAATATAATCTAGACGATCTTTTATTTCAGCTCTAAGTATTGTAATTAAACGCATATAATTACTAATTCTAAGTTTATATGAAAATATAATTTTTATTTAGTATTTATACTTTTTTGTAATTTTTTCAAGTCTCTTTGGGTCAATTTATAATTTAATAGAAATTATTGGTGATAAGGATTGCTGAGGTGGCTTTGGTTCGGTGAAGTGTTTGTCCAGGTGGGTTTTGAACTAAATTGTGGCTCCAACTTTCGAGCTACAAGGAATTATGAAAAATAAATAAATACTATGTTTTGGTTATAAGTGAAGTCCATCTTAAAGCATTCCCGAATCTTTTATGTTATGTTGTGTCCAACTCACTAATATTTGCTCGTTATATAATATTTATGTTTATGGTAATGTTATAGTTTCGATGTGTATATCATATGCAAATTATATTATTTATGAGTTTGATTATTATAAATAGTTTAACTCAATATTATAAGAGTCATATTAAAAAAATTTAAAAAAATTGAGTTATAATGAAATATCACACGAAATATAACCAAATATCTCTTAGATTATAATCAAAATAATGGTATAACTCAATTTTATGGGAATCATAATTTTTAAAAAATTGAGTTGTAACCAAACCGTTCTTAGACCATAATCAAAATAATATCATAACTAATAGGGAAAATTAGTCTAACATATCTCTCTAACTTTTAGTATTGGGAGAGATCTACAATAATTTTTTTTTGTAGTCTAAGGTCCCTCACCCACACCTATATACACCCACTCTCTCATTCTCTCTCTCTCCTCTCTCTTTTCGCACCTAACAACCCTTCTCTCTCTCTCAATCTAGAGTTCCAATATGGCTGTGAAGATGTCAATTATCAACCAACCATAAACCATTGCTCATGTTTCTTGCACACACACGCACACAAAGAGAGAGAGAGAGAGAGAAGATGAATGGATTTGAGAGATTGAGCACAACCTAGAACGGGGACATAGAAAAGTGAACTCTCTACCCAAGTCTTGGCTATAGAGAGAACCAACTTCGTTGGGGTTTCATTGCAGAGACCTAGTTCTGATCAAGAACTTGTTCAATTTTCTCACCCTCACCAATGCCAATCTGTTCAACATGAAGGTCTCTCTCTCTCTCTCTCAAACACACACACACACACACACACACACACACACACATACATACACAAATCGAATCTAGGTTGTGGATTTTGAATTGATTGTTTATGTTTTATTTTCCTGAATTAATTAATACATTGAGCGATCAATTAAGTGAATGTTGTTTTGTATCATTGCTTATTGTTGAAATTATTGGATGAACTCGTGTAATTTCGATAATTTAGAGGAGTTTGGATTTGAATTTGGGCTTGGTTAAGAAGTAGGTTGAAGTTCTGGTTTTGTATTACAGTTTTGCTGTGTAATTTTGCTAAGTTGGTGAATTGGGGATTTGGGATTGGATTTTGAAGGTTGATCAAAAATAAAAAATTTGCTAGGGAGTTGGGCTGTGAATTTACAAAATTTAGTATTTTGGTGAGGAAATTGCAAGAACTTGTTAGTATTTTGTTCTGATCATTCTCGAGGTAATTTTCTCTACTTTGTTTAATTTTCTGTGTTATTCAATTTTCTTTGAATTTCTCTGGGTTGAACTCAAAGAAATTTCTTTCTCTGGGTAATTTTCTCTGCCCTGTTTAATTTTTTTTGTGTTTTTCAATTTTCTTTGGTTTGAACTCAGAGAAATTTGATTTTCTCTGATTTGAACCCAGAGAAATTCTTTGGGAAGTCTAGAATTTCTCTAGATTGAAATTTTTCTAGATCAATGTTAGGGAATCTTAGATATTATGAAAATATTGAATGTTCTTTATACTATAAAATCTTAATATCAGGGATCTTAGAAGAAAAAAATTCCTAACTAATATTATAATGTATTATAACTAATAATATAGTAAGTCACAAATATAGACACAACGTCATAACCAAAAGGTGAAGGGAGTTTGTATTATAAAATTTCTGGATAAACTACAAATACACTCTTTGAGATTTGCTTAAAATACGAATTGTCCCTTGTGATTTAGAAAATTACAAATACCTCTCTGTCAGAATTTTTTATTTAACAGAATTAATTGAAAAAGTGAAATTTCTATCTGTTCACCTATACAATAATAAAATTATTTCAATTATTAATTGAAATAAAATTTTAACATTATTAAAAACTGTTAATTAACTTGATAATTTATTAATAAAATGACTTATTTGTTATGAAATTAGAAACCATATCGGCATAATGTAATTTCTAAAACCACAAGGAATAATTTGTAATTTAAGTAAACATCAGGGAGTATATTTGTAATTTATCCAAAATTCTCCTTATGTTTAATCTTTTTTGGTTACATTTAAAAATAAATAAATAAATAATTTAAATTATAAACAAAATTTTTATTGGGCCTATCTTCATTTCTGAAAACAAATAAAAGTTTTTAACAGTTACTAAATTCTATGAAAAAAAGAAAAGAAAAGATGCTTTATTTGTTGTGTATATAAATTTTAATTCTCTCCACCTTTTATTAGTATCTTAGCACTAATTTTTCTGCCTAAATAAATGTAAAATGATAAAATATATTGAATAAATCAATAAAATAAAATGTCATATTTAATTCGTAATTATGTTATTATTATTTTTTTTTTTACAATCATCACCTCTAAATCAAAAAAAAATAAAATAAACGGAACTAATTTAAATTAAATTAATCAAAAAAAATCAAACTAAATTAATTCTTTGCAAACACAACTTTTTGGCTTAAAAAGTGAGAAAATCACTTAAAAATTTGTCAAACATCTCAATAATTCATATTTTTCTGTACAACTAAAAAATATTCTAAACATATTCTTATAAAAAAAACCCAAAAAAAACCAAAAAAAACAAAAAAAATTCATACCAAACGAGGTGTTAACTCAGTTACCAGTATCACCCTCGCTAATGGCGTTTTCGAGGGTTCCTCTGTCTAGGGTTCCTCTGTGTCGGCATAATTATCTCTCTTCTCTCCTTCCTTTCTCGTTTTCTCATCTCACACTCTCTCTCCAACCCAACCGTACCAGACTCAATAATCTCTCTGCTTCTCTCTCTACCCAAGAACCAGCCCCTTCGATTGATTCTTCTTCTGCAAATCCCAAGCAGAGGAATCGCTGGAAGCCAATGTGTTTGTACTTCACGCAAGGAAAGTGCACTATGGTAAGATTCACCATCCAAAAGTAGCTAAAATTTCGATTCATTATTCATCTCCCATCTGTATGTATTTCTGGATATTTATGTCCAATGTAATGTCAATTGTTCTGTTGCTAATTGAATTGAAATGGGTGTTTGGTTAATGAGAATATGGTTGATGTAGTTTGAATTTTGAATTGTATCTGTATTGCACACCATGTGCTTGATATGAGTTGTCTTAGGCCATCTCCAAGGTTGCATCAGATTAAGCCTCAAATTCAAATTTGATGAAAAAGTCACTTTTTTCCTCTCCAATGGTTTCACCAAATTGATATCAAACTGAGAACGGAACAAAACTTTCATCAAACTAAGGGCAAGCACGAGATTTCACCATTTCACCGTGCTGTAACGTTGGGGTGGGCCAACCGGTCAACCAGCCGGACGTCCGGCCGGTTGACCGACCCACCGGTCAACCGGCTCCCTCAATCTGCGAACTGGTTTATTTTCTGGAACAGGTGCGAACTGGTTTATTTTCTGCAGAGTGAGACGAAGGCATTCCTCCTGAAGCAAACATAATCCCCAAATCCCACTTCCTCTCCACAAAGAAATTCAATATCACCTTCGTCGATTGAGCAATCACCCAAGCAAACAAACCCGAAACGAACGTTGGATTCGCCGCCAGAGTCGCCACAAAAGGGCTGATTCGAACTCTCGCCGTCGTGGTCATGCTCAACAAAGCCACACCAAGCCCTCCGTTTTGCAAATAGCCCTCTGACCCACCATTAGAGCCTGGAAAAACGGAGACCCATTTCTTGGAAGAGGCTAAACCTTTGATTTTGTATAGAGCTGGGGAGCAAATTGGAAAAAAGAGAGGTGGGTGTGTTGGAGAAATTGCATTTTGAAATTGGGTTTTGTGGGTTTGAGCTATGATTGGGTATGCAAGAAACAGAGGTTGTTGAAGAGTGTTTCAACTTATTACTATCTTTGATTTTGTTGAACAAATCCAAAAGGGGAGAGGTGGGTTTGTTGGGAAATTTGCATTTTTGAATTCGGTTTTGAGGATTAGAGTAGCTACTATTAATGGGTTTGCAAGAAAGAGAGATTGAAGAGGGTTTGAACTTGTTGAAACAAGTGAAGTGGAAAAAAGAGTTGGTAGTGGAGATTTAGGGATGTGAGTAGGGGTTGAAGTTGCAAAAGTGTCCATGAGACCAAGCCCCTATCTTCCTTGGATTCAGATTGCATTGAATAGAAGTAGAGGGGAGAGAGAGACGAAGAGGGAGAGATTGGAGATGGAAAAGACCAGAGACTTTGAGGTTTGTGGAGAAGAGAGAGAGAGAGAGAGAGAGAGAGAGAGAGAGAGAGAGAGAGAGAGATTGGGAACAGAAAGGGAGGGAAAAAAAAAATTTGAGAAGCCTAAAAGGTCGACCCACCGGACGTCCCCTTCGCTTTTGATAAATACCATTGGAGTTATTCGTATCAGATTGAGAAAATCAGCCTTTTTTTGCTCAGATTTGGTGAAAATTATGATGAACCGTTGGAGATGCTCTTAGGGTTAAGAACGGGTTCAGTTTGCATTGAATAGAAGCAGAGGGGAGAGAGGGACGGAGAAGGACAGATTGGAGATGGAAAAGACCAGAGACTTTAAGGTTTGTGGAGAAGAGAGAGAGAGAGAGAGAGATTGGGAACAGAAAGGGAGGGAAAAAAAAAATTTGAGAAGCCTAAAAGGTCGACCCACCGGACGTCCCCTTCGCTTTTGATAAACACCATTGGAGCTACTCGTATCAGATTGAGAAAATCAGCCTTTTTTTGCTCAGATTTGGTGAAAATTATGATGAACCGTTGGAGATGCTCTTAGGATTAAGAACCACTTTGTTTGATGGGTTTCATATTGGCTAAAACTAGGGGTATAGCTACATAGGGCTACAAAAGAGCGAGCCGAGTTGAGTTTTGAGTGTTCAAGCTTGTTTACTAAAAGTTAGTTGAGCTTAAATAATCGGAGAAACTCGAGCTCGGCTCAAGCCAACTCGATTACATAAACAAGTCAAATTTGAGCTCGAGAATGAAAAAAAATTAAACTTAAATTAATTTACTTATTAAGATAAAATAATATAAACTTATGAGTAGAATATACGAGAATACTTATGTTAATAATAAATTTAATTAATCAAATATGTAAATTTATACAAATATCAAAAACAAATAAAATAATAAAATATTTGATATATTATTAAAAATAAGGCCAAGTTTGGCTAACCTAAAAAAGTGCACTTATTTCATCTTTTTATCTTTTTTGGGTCACATCAATCAACATCTCCTCTCTACTTTTTCTACACATAATACAAAAAAAGTCAAAAAGTACACTTATTTAGTCTTCCCAAACTTGGCCTAAATATTAATTGATTTTCTTTATGTTAACGAACTTTATTGAGGCGAGCTTGGGGCTACTCGAGCTTGACTCGATTAATAATCGAGCCTAAAAATCGAGCTCGAGCTTGTTTATTTAGTAAATGAACCGAGGTCAAACAAGTTTTAAATGAGCCGAGCTCAATAGCTGGGTTCGTTTTGCTGCCCTATAGCTGCATGGGGTTTCAAGGGTTAATAAAAAAAAATGATAATTAGTTAGTGATCTTTATCTTGAATTTATGTACTTTTTAGTATGGTTGCAGTCCAATGAATGTACTTGTATATACTACTTAGAACAGTGGAAAATATAAATGGAGTGATGCAACATTGTATATGCTACTTAGAACAGTGGAAAATGTGAATGGAGTGATACAACACAATAGACTTGTGGCAGTAGTATACATGTCATGGGTATGTACTTGTAAGTTTGTAACAAATGGTTACCCGAGGGAGTGTGAAAATTGAAACCTCTCCACCAATCACACTGTTAATGTAGCAGATAAGTTCTGAAATCAGTGCATTTGTTCACTCAAGTACAAAGATAAAAGCGCTTTCCTTTGCATCTTGTTTTCACATTATAGCTATTTTAGGTTTCAACATGAGCTCTTTCTAATGTATTTACAATTGTGGGAATCCAACTAGTTATATATATATATTTTTTTGTTTTGGGTGTAATTGTGCGTTCTTCTTGCACTTACAAATTTAAGTAAGAATTGTTGATTGAAATAATAGAAATGAGTTCTAACGAAATGTTATCAATGATGCATATACTTAAAAACAAAATATATTAATGATGCACAGGGAAACAAGCCTACTACTAGCGAATAAATTACTTACCTACCCACTTGTTACACAGGAAGGCAACCCAAGAGAATGGGTGAATTGGGTAATAAAAAAAATTATAAACAGAAAATTGATTGCAATTAATCAAGTAAGTAAATGCAGCAAGCAATCAATTATTCTCAAGCACAAAGATTAGTTGTTCGGCTCACCGGCATACGTCTACTTCTCAAGATACCTCCTTGAGAATTTCTTCACTATGAATCAAATCAATATACCAACAAGCTTCACCTAGCTTGTGGATTTTTACAAAGGACTTACTTCTATCTGTTGAGGACCTTTCAACTAAATGCCTCACTTTACAAGTGTTTCACTAAGAAAATAAGAAATAAGAATCAGAAGTACAACTGTCCTCTTTTACAAATTTTCTCTCTCAAAAGATGGATATGAAAATGTAAGTACAGAGGGAATTTAAGACTCACTCAGATATGAAAATGGAAGTACATTGAAGTATAATAAAAACTCTTGAATGCTTTGGGTTTCTTGTGTTGAAGAGTTGTATATTTCGAACATGGAGAGCTTCTTCTTTATAGCATTAATGGCTTCTAGCTGTTGGAGAGAAACAGATTTGAATCTTTGAGCCGTTGGAGCAAATCATGGAGGATATCTTCTAGCTGTATTGATCAGAGCATGGGTGTATACAGACTCTAATCAGGTCTTTGGGAGAGGAGCTTCATTAAATGCAAAAGCTTTTCATTAAATGCTCAACCTCATAAGTCAACTCTTAGTAGAAGATATAGGTTTTGTTTGGTTTGTTTTTGAGAAACAAATTTTGGAGAAATTTTTTTAAAATTTTTGTTTGGTTTAGTGATTTTGGAAAAAAAAATTCAAAATCACTTTCTATCTCCTACATATCAATCAATCACTTTTCTCTCTCCTCTCTCATTCTCAATCACTTTTTATCTCACACACATCTACTTAACTACAATAAAATATCAAATCATCCCAAATTCCCACACTCCAAAACTATTTCCAAAATATACAACCAAACAAATCAAAAAAATTTCTAAGTTCTTTCCTCAAAATTTTTTTTGAAAATTTATCTCTCAAAGCCAAACCAAACACACCCATAATGTTGGAAAATCTGCTCGAGGATCAGAAATGATGACTTATTCTGCACACAGATCAGAAAAAGCGGTTGGGAAATGAGCTGTGTCAGTCTAGATATGATTGGGCAATTGGGTTTTTTAAAACCCAAATTTAGGGATGTCGACCCCTGCAGATTGGGTGTCGACCTTTGCTTTCTTTTTTTCTCTGAGCTGATTTCCTGGTGTTCCTAGTGTCTTTCATAACTGGGTGTCGACCCTTTTGTTTGTTAGAATTTTGAACTTTGTTTGTTGAGTTTTAGTGTCGATCCTTGTCGTTCCTGGTATCGACTCTTGCTGCTGGATTGTGTTTTGAAATTTAGTGTCGACCCTTGTCATTCTTGGTGTCGACTGTTATGAAATTTAGTGTCGACCCTTGCTGTCTTGGTGTTGACCCTTGCAGCTGGAATACTTAAGCATTGTGAACTTCATTTTGGTGTCAACACTTGGACATGTTTTAAGCATAAATAGTGTTTTGCATACATGAGCTAATTTCATGTTTTGAGGGGCTAAAAGCCATTGGAAAACAACACTATAGAAGCATATATTTTTTAGAAACATGGAAGCACAATTGTATTTATTTTGAAAACTTTGAATAGTAAAATGAGTTCAAAACATTTGTCGATAATCAAAATCAATAAGAATTTAAATTTGAATAACTTGGGGCTAACACCACTTTTTAAAATAAAATAAAAAACAACTCCCCTACACAAACTCCCACTTATTACGTTGAAACCTTCATGCTACCCTCAAAAATTCCAGCCGCAAATGTACCAAACTACTGCAGATATTAATATTATAATTTATATCTTAATCTTGTAGTATTTTGGTTTAGCTGCTCTAATGATCTCAAAACTAGTTGGGCTGCTCTGATGTATTATCCCCCTCTCAATAACCTATGCTTTTGTTTTTACCACAAAAATATTTATTTGGAACTTGAAAGAAGACATCCACTTGCCATGTTATCACAAAACATTGATCAGTCCTCTCTTTTAGCATGGTGTGGCAGAGTCAAAAGTTCATTGGAGGTGGAAGTCAGCTGTGTGTCTCAAAGCAGTTTGCAATCAGTTGGGTTGCCTCACTGCTTCATGGATATGACTGCATTGCTTAGTTATATAGTAAATGCAAACAGTGAACCACAGAAAACTGATGCACCTTGTGATTTAACCTTTAGTGGTACCATTATTTAGTGGTATATTATCACCAAAAAAAAAAATGTCATTACCAATACTTAACAAATGGATCCGAACTGTAATATGGCGCACATTCTGGAAAGATTATTTCATTATTATACAAGGATTGATTTCTAATTGAAATATATGTCATGCAGATGAATGATCCTATCCACCTAGAGAAATTCAATCATAATTGCTCTGGGGAGCTTAAAGTAAGCTCTCCTACGGTCAAACAAACACGCTCTCAACAGTTAGACTTCTTTCTTGTGCTTGATTTGGAGGGAAAAGTAGAGATTCTGGAATTTCCTGTTCTGATGCTTGATGCGAAAACGATGGATGTCGCGGATATGTTCCACAGGTTTAACACTGTTCGCTTATCATATGTGTAGTAGGGGCTTACCAAATGATATGTTCTTCTGTTTTGCTTTTGTTTTTATTTTTCTTTTTGTGGTTTTGGGAATACTGTGTTTGCTTTCAAGTCTTTTTTGCATCTAAATAACTCCAAAAAAAAAAAAAAGGCCGCGGGGGGGTGGGGGTTGGATTACAATTCTATGGTACTTGTAGAAAATAATTACAGATTCATGAAAAGTTTAAAGCTTTAATTATTAATGGTTGTAAAGTCCCCCCCACAAAAAAAATGACTACAAGATTTACATGATGAGTACTGTATATTTAGGCATATTAACATGAACATTTTTTCCTGGGAAAAAGGGAGGGGCTACACAACTTGGTAGTTGATTAACATTCCCCATTAAATGGGTGTTTTTGTGAGGATAATACATAATGTATTGTTAGAAAAAACTTGCAAAGTTACAATCTTTCAAAGAATGGTGTTAATGTGCAGCTTTGGCAAGTTTCAGGAGGAACTAACCTCGCATCATGTGTCTTACGTAGTTTTGTTGGAAATACTGTTGTCCTTCACATTACCAATTTCTGGAATTATAATAACATACTGAATTTTTGATTTTCTGGTCTGTACCTTTTCATCAGAGTTGCAGCCAAGCAGCATGATTTTTTAGAATAGCTTATTATTCTTTTTCTCACACCCCTTACAGATTTGTGAGGCCCTCCGCTATGAGCGAGCAAAGAATAAACGAATATATAGAAGGAAAATATGGAAAAATAGGAGTTGATCGGTATGACATTACTTCTGCTTTCTTTGTCACTGAGCTCTCATGTAATATTTATTCAGGAAGTAATTAAAGAGGTGCAACTTTAATTTTGGTCATGCAATTTCATACAGGTGAGTTAGTTTGTGCATGCCAAGATCTTTATATGAGTACTCTTTCTTATTGTTACCATATATATATTTGGCTTGGTTGTCCAGTATAAGTACAATTGAACTGATGATAATAGATACATTTGTAGAGTATCATGATGCAATCTGTTACAACTGCTATAAATAAAAATGGTGATTGTGCAATGTTGATACATAGGATACTGGTAGAGAGTTACTTATTGACCAGCAGTTTCACTAGGCTACATTTCTAAATGTTCCATATTTCAACTAGTGAAAGTGCTGGTATAAATAGGCAACATTTCTCGTCTTGGTTGTATCAGTGGTAAATGGGACTGGTTTGTTGAGTTGAGTTGAGTTAGATGTACAGTGGTATCCTGTGGCTGTTTGTTTTATATCAGCTTATCCATGGTCATGATACCTGTACATTGGAACATATCAATTAGCAGCGAATTAATTAATCAATTCCATTGTTTGAAGAAAACTTTTATGTTCTGCCCTTGGATTTTATTTTGTAAACTTTTACATCAAGCTCCTGTATGTAATATACCCGTGAAAACAATTTAATATAGGCATCTCTAATCATTTTTTCAAATGATTTAATTTCATGAAACATTACCCTTTAGGGATCTTATCCTTTGGGGTTCTGGTTGTGTAGTCATAAAGATCTAGAATTAAAACGTTCATGGTATTTTTATGCACATATGATGAGATTTCTTTGTTTCAACAAATTATATGTATATATATATCCCTATATTAGCCTGCCCTTTGTTAATTCTGGAGTTTGTCAAGGACTATATAATTCATCAGGTGCTTGGCCATCTCTATTTTATGCTAATGCAAATTCGTGGTATCTTGTACTGTCCGGAGTATGTAAGAAATTACTAGAAACTCTACTGGATGATATCCATGAAGAACAAACTTTAATTTTCTTTATCTTTGCTGGTAAGGTGATATAAATTATGTAGATTTGCAGCGTTTGGCATGATACAGCTATTCCATTTGAGGAAGTTATTCAACAGTTCGAAGCTTGGATGGTTCAACATGACTTGTTGGGCAAAGAGCTGAATGGGCGTCTAAGTAGAGCTGCATTTGTAACTTGGTAAGTTAACTTCTGTGGATTGCTAATGATAAATTGAAAAATTAAATTTGATCTTCTTCACTCAAACTTTGCCAAAGCTTAATTGGATTTTATGTTGCATACTTGCCGCCAATCATTAGATATGTAAGCATCAAAGCAGTTCTGGACATGAAATCAAGTTGATCGTTGTGTGTATCATATAAAGGTGCATTTGACCATTGAGAATTAAGTTGTTACAGAAATGGACCATCAGAAACCCAGTAAAATAGGATTAAATGAGGAGGACAACAGACCCATTTTGAAGAGATTTGGGCAGATGATCCATGAGATCTGGGTCGGGGCTGTGCCAGACATTGAATAAATGGAACTTCTTCAGGTTAACCATGAGTTCCACTGTGAAGCGAACGGCCATGTTTGGTTTGTGTTTGTGAAACAATTTTGAAAAATAATTTTCTGAAAAGAGTTTACAAAATTTGAAAATTTGTTTGGTTGTATGTTTTGAAAATAGTTTTGGAGTTTGGAATGATTTATTTAACTTTTTAGTTGAATAGATGGGGGTGAGAGAAAAAGTGATTGATTGATATATAGGATGTGAGAGAAGGAAAGAGGAGAAAGAAAAAGTGATTGATTGATGTGTAGTAGAGAGAAAAGTGATTTTGAATTTTTTTTTTCAAAAATTTTCAACCAAACAAAATTTTAAAATTTTTTACCAAACAAAATTTTAAAATTTTTTCTCAAAAATTGTCTCTCAAGAGACGAACCAAACAAGACTAACATCTCCGGCTCAGGGGGATTAAAGCTCATAACAAGACCTTTGCTAATACAATTGTTTATCTGATTAATGTTTTTGGGGTGTGTGTGTGTGGCGGTAGCTTGATCTTCTTTATTGAATCTGCTGGTACAAATAGCTTTTATTAAAACAAAGTAATATGGTTCGTTATCCGGTGGTGTAAAATATAAGCATACAAGTCCAGCTTATTTGTTTATTTATTACTGAGATTTCTTTTTTCATGTTAAATAGTGGGAATTGGGATTTGAAGACAAAGGTCCCTCAACAATGTGAAGTATCAGGGATGGTGCTCCCCCCATATTTTATGGAATGGATCAATTTGAAGGACATCTATCTGAACTTCTACAAGAGGAGGGTGAGTATGAGCATTTGAGTTTTTTAGTTTTGAAAAATGGTTATATATTTCCTTGTCTATTTTCCCTTGATATTGTATTATAATCTAGGGCAAAATTCATTTCACCCCTGTGCTTTGAGGCTACCTCCCTGTGGTTCAATATAGTCAGAAAGTCCTCATGTGGTTTTGAACTAAAGTGCATCTCTTAACACCGTTAACTATAGATATGAAATGAATATAATATCCTTAAACTCTATACATTTTTTGTTATTTTTTTCTCTCCCCGCTCTCATACACATAATTTATAATATCTAACATTAATTCAATTAAATCATAACTGATCATAAATTCTTAGTTATTTATAGTAATTCTTAACTTTTTATTTTAATTTTAATTTAATTATATTTTTAGATCACAATTAATCTTAAATCCTTAATTGTTTGTTGTAATTTTTAACTTTTACTTTAATTTCAATTTAATTATATTTTAGATCATAATTAATTTTAATTTTAATTTCTTAATTATTTATTATAATTCCTAACATGTTAATATAACTTTAATTTAATTATAGTTTACATCAATCCTTAATTATTGTTTATTTTATATTTTTATTTAATTATATTTTAAATCAATTCTTAATTTATTTTATTTTAATTAACATATTAATCTAATTTTAGGTTTGGAAGAAATGGGGATAAAATTGTCTTTTTGTTGTATTAATTTCATTTTATTTTTTCAGAAAACCCAACTTACTCTAAAAAATGGGGTGTGTGATACACCTTACGTCAGTTTGGATACAAAAATTAATGGTGACATTCCAGTCCAAAATCATATAAAGGCTTTCTGGCTATATTTGAATCATAGAGGGGGAAAATGCTCCAATCTCAAATCAAGAGAGGTAAAATGAATTTAACCCTATAATCTAAGATGGATGGCCTCTTTATGGTTTCTAGTGTTGCAATATCATTTTGGATTAAATACCATTTACATAAAGCGTGGAACTATTCAATGGGTTCAAGGATAAATTGGTGGAGTCGTGAACCAATATAGTTTGTAACAATGCTAAACTTCTTAACACTAGGGGTGTTTGCAGTTCGGTTGTTGTTGCGGTTGGCGGATTGGAAAAAAATCAATTTGCATTCGTCCACCGGATTGGCGGATAGATACGAATTGATTTGGCGGTTTAAACTTTTACAAATTTTAAACATAATACAACGAGTTGTCAACATTTTTTTTTGATAACAATCTAACTCAACATAACTAAAAGATTATCAAATAAATTGTCAAATACCAATAATAAATACATATAAGAAAATCATGTATTATTAAAATTATTTTATTACTTTTTTTTATTCAAAAATTATTTAATTTGATTTTTAAAAAAAAAATGACAAAGCTAAGTTTTATATTTTTTACACAAAAATATTAAATATTAACACTTTCCATTTGATAAAAGGATTTTCAAATTGAAAACACAACAGAATATTTAAATGCTTTTTTAATTGAAAACGCAAATAGAATATCAAAACAAATTGAAAATATAAAGTCTTACAAATTATTAGAGATGTTTACGGCTTGGCGGTTTGGTTGCGGTCAAAGGAATCTTAAATTTGTCATCCGTTCAAAACTAGGTGAATTGAAAAAAAATTAATCTGCAACTGCCCGCTCATCATCACGTATCGCATCCGTCCAAATTGCGGCGGATCAATTCGGTTCGATCGTTTTTGGCGGATTAGAATACCCCGTTGAGCACCCCTAATTAACCACTAGACTCATGTTCCTAATTTTAGATTGCGTTGTGATGCCAACAGTGCCTCTTGTTATGTTTCGGTCTGTGTGGATGATGCAATAGAAATACTGATTCTATACCTGACAATGGAAATTGCACCAGTCTAGTTGGGTGGTCAGACTTCAATTTGGACCTACCTGAAGCTGCTGTTATTTCTTAGTGATGGATGTTCCTAGAACTAATTTCCTAATCTTAGTTTAGATCGGATTGGGTTGCAATGTCAACAGGGTCTTTGTTAGCTTTGTTCTGCGAGGATGCAATAGATACGTTACTACTACACATGACAATTGAAATGGCACCAATCCAGGATAGAGTTCCAACTGTTTCTTAGTGATGAATATTTCTCTCTCTCTTTCTCTCTGTACTGACCATTTGCTTGTTTTTTCGGATGCTAGGCCACAGGAATGATTACGATGATGAAGGAACTTCAGATACCGCTGGTAGGAAGTCACCATTTGGGAATTGATGATACAAAAAACATAGCAAGAGTGCTGCAACACATGCTTGCTGATGGTGCTCTTCTGAAGATCACTGCAAGGAGAAATCCAGGAAATCCAGAAAACGTTGAGTTTTTTTTTAGGAACCGGATCCGGTAGGAGCTCACTTGTGGCTAGACGTGTAATCTGCAGTTGTCACAGTGGAATTGTGTAACTTTTTTTTTCTTTGTATAATTATTAATTAAAGAGATGCAAGTGACTGCTAGGAGTTTCAGTTCATGCATAAAATTGTAGAAGAACAATCTATTGCAACATAATATTACAAGTATGATAATGGTCTAAATTTACTTTAAAGCCTTTGCATGAATTTTTTCTTTGGCATCCCTTATTTTAGCAATATTAATGTTTTCTATTTTTAATGTTCTTATAGGTGGGCACTCATTTTTTTTTTTTGGGCACGCATAAATCATTTTATAAAAAATAATAGGGACAATTACAAAAAAAAAAAATCCTAGGATTTGAGGCTTGTAACAAAATAAATCTTAAATTTTTAATTGTCAATTTAAATCTCAATTTTTTTGATTTACTTTCAATCTAAATCATTCACATATTTTTGTTAAGTAAAATTGATAGGAAAAAAATAAGAAAAAAATATTTTAGTTATTAAACTCAATAAAATGTCTAAAATATCATTTTTTATTGAGTTTAATGACTAAAATATCATTTTTTTCTGTTAATTTCACTTAACAAAAATAAACAAATAGTTTAAATTGAAAACAAATCAAAATTTTGAGATTTAAATTAATAAAATTAAAAATTTAGGGTTTAATTTGTTAAAATGATCAAATCCTATAATCTTTTTTAGGTAAATTACAAATATACCGCTTGAGATTTGCTTAAATTATAGATTGCCTCATGTGATTTGAAAAATTACAAATACCCCCTTATTAGAAATTTTTATTTAAAAGAATTAACGAAAAAAATGAAATTCATAATTGATCTCCTATACAATAATAAAATTACCTAAATTATTAATTGAAACATATTTTTAACATCATTAAAAACTGTTAATTGATTAGATGATTTATTAATAAAATTGGCGATTTGTTATGAAATTAGAAATCTCATGAGTAAAATGTAATTTTCAAAATTACAGAAGACAATTCATATTTTAATCAAATATTAGGAGGTGTATTTGTAATTTATTTTTTTTAATTTATAATTTCTCCAAAATAGTAATATGCTTATGAGTTTAACCAATCGAATCAAAAGTCCGGTCCCAAAAAGTAATAAAATTTGAATTTATGGTGGAGTAACTATTTCAATTAGCTATGGTGAGCATCCAAATTGATTAGATCGTTAGGCTTCAATTGAAAAGTGAGTTAGTTTTTTAGTTTTTTAAATTTTTAATTATTTTAGTCTGGAATTAAAAAAATATTATTTGGGTTTGAATTTTTGTTTTAATTTTTAATTATTTTAGTCTGAAGTTAAAAAACATTGTTTGGGTTTGAATTTTTAACTTTTTTAACTTTTGTGAGAAAAAAAATAAAATGATTATGCTTTAAATGTAATATTTTATCTTATTGACATTTTAGCATCTTTTTTTCTTTTCTTTTTCTTTTTATCTCTTTTTGTCACTATTTTAACCTTTTAACCCAAAAATCCTTTATGCCAATTGAGGGCTAAATTATTTTGCAGGAGCTTCAATGTATTTTGAAGTATATGCATTTCATTTTTTTATCTTTTTTTTTTTTTTTTTTGAGGAAGAATATTTTAATATTCTTAGATTCAATTTACCAAATTAAAACTTATAATTTGGATATCCATTTTATTTCATATCATCATCTTGTTTCTTTGAACCTCGTCTTACAATTTTCATACCTTCTTTTTATTTCTTTAAACCTCTACTTCTTTGAACCATTATTTACAAAAATTGCTATGTATATATATATATATATTTTTTATTTGAGCATCAAATGTAATCCTATATCTACCTTCTTTTTTTTTATGACTCTATCTCTACTACTCCTTTACTCTGACAATCCGCACCTCACCATTTTCAGCTACCCTTTCTAGCCCCCTTCCCTAGTAATGATCCCCTTTCCTGACTACAACCCTCTATGTCTCTAGCCTCCATTACAATCCCGCCATATCATCTTGACTAGTAATGGCAATTTGGACTTGGCTCGATGGGGACCCGACCCCTCGACCCCTATTAGAACGGTTTTTTCTTGAAAATATCCCTGACGGACTGGGTATGGTATTTGAAACTGAATCCCCAATAATTTTCGGGCCGAGAACGATGATATATTTTTCAACCCAGGCCTTGGCCCTGTACTCCTGAACTAAAATTCATATATATATATATATATATATCCACAGGCAGACAATAAAATAAAAAACAAAATAGAGAGAGAGAGAGAGCAGCAAAGAGAAAGCAGAGAGAGATATAGCACCGAATCAGCGAGAACATCGTCACCGAATTAGAGAGAACATCGTCGCCTCCTCCTCTGCGCCACCGCTTCTGCCATGCTGCTAGAGTCGCCAAACCTCCATACTTCGGCGTTGGTTCCCTCCGCTACGGCATATCTGAGCAGATCTCTCTCTTTCTCTCTCTCATTCTCTATTCTCAAATCTCTCTTTTCTGTGATGTTGATGATGTTGTTTTAATGATGTTGTTGTTGATGATGTTGAATCATTGTTGTTGATGTTGTTTGTTTTGTTTTTGGTCCGAGAAATTTTCGAGATCGAGAAACCCGATTTCTGTTAGGGGGCGAGGATGGAGATGGTGATAGGTTCCTCGTTGGGATCGGGGTCGAAGACGGGGAAATTTTTACCATCGGGGATTGGGGACGGAGAGTGTGATTGTAACAACCCTCATACTGTTTACCGACTTATGACTGATTGATTACCGATAACCATCGATTACCGTTAAACTGAATTGATTATGACTGATAACTGAACTGATTAAAGTACTGAACTGACTGACTGAAATTGGAAACCGAATTGATTGAGTATATGTTAGTTAAATTGCATTCTATCTGTTTGACTGTATGATTATCTGTTCATGCTTATATGTTTAAACTGCTAATTGAAGGCCTTATCGGCGGCCGAATTAGAAAACGATTGATGTTCCATGATCCTCAGAATTAATGTGATTTTATGGTATAAGTATCTGAAAATTGATTAGGTATGATTAAATTAAGTTA